AATGCTGAGTTCAAGCTTTCCGCCAGAAAGATCTCAAGAACAGAACTTCGAATTTACAGCGCGAATGAAATGAGCAATGATATCTCTTCGTAAATGTAACAACGTATGTTACCGGGCTTTAATTAGCTAATGTATCCGTATTTATGGCCCCAATAAACGTGAGCGAATAGGTGCTGTAAACGTTTTTGTTTTTTGACCGGCCAGGGACATGGCACTCTGAGAGCCAATCACTGCAATTTACGGCACCGCTCAACTAATGAGGATGCCGAACATTTGGTTAGACCCAAAGATGCTGTCTGCGACATCAGGGAATGCAAAACGTCCCGCTTGCTTTGCTTAATGTAACAGCGCAGATTGCATTTCTTGGTCTAAACGTATGTTCCGCGTCGTCATTCGCTGAGAGGACTTCGCAGGTTGCAACGATTGGCTCTCGGAGTGTTGTGCGGAAATCGACAGGCGCGAACTTTTTGTGCATTTTGTGTTTGCACAAATGTGGATGTATGTTTGATAAAAATAACTGTTATATTTGGTCCTATATTCAGTGCTGCAACTATTATGTAAATAGCTTACATGCGTAAACGGCGCATCAACGTAACAAATTGTTTTTGTTTTAGGGATTCGTTGATACTCACAAATGTGAAGACGCCGTGAGTGCTCGCCGTCATGTTTTGCTCATGAACGAAGAGATAACTAAAGCGCCCCTGAACGTCGACTTGATACAAGACCGCATGATGCAGACGTTTCAGTCTTGCCAAGAATGGATCCTCAGCGATGCTGGAGCCCTCACAGTCCTTGAGGAATTTCCGGCAATGACGATTCCCGGAATGGTAACTCAATATTATCTTCTTTATATTTAGTCTTAAAGTTTCGAGATTTTTACAGATCATCAGGACTTCAAAAGTTTCTTACTACCCGTTTTATCGCCTGTGAATGAGATATGGGCTTTTGATACGTGCTAAATTAAATAATTTTACCTCGTAATAAGGCTAGGCAATCAATTAGTTAACATTCCGATTAATTAACTATTGTTTTACTCTGAATCAAGTGAGTTTAACAGGCATATTGGTTGGATTTAGAGTTACGAAGTCTTATAAACAAAAAAGTAAAAAGAATATTCATTTAATTCTTTTTTTGTGTTTATAACACAATTGTCTCTCATGGCTACTTAAGTGTTTTATATGATTATTATCTAGAGTGGTTTTGAAGTTTAAATAATAACGTACAAATATTTTATTTTAAATGTTTTCCATGCTTTTCTTGTGTATGAGCACAACGACAAGTTGATATTTGAACTTGTTATTGTACAAATATGTACATATATTTTATTTTAAATGTTAGCCATGCCTTACTTCTGTATGAGGCACAATGACAAGTTGTTATGTACTAAGCCTTATAAGACGTAGTAAAAACTTGTCAAAGAAAAAATCGGTTGTTCTAGGCCCTTTCTGGATACAATATCTTTCCTCGAGATCAGCGCGACCTATAAATTGATTAACTAGTCAATATAAAAGAAAACGTAAATCGAAATTATTTTAATTGACGCCAAGCCCTACTCCACTATAGTGACAGTAAGTGGTAATTTAGTTAATATATATATATATATATGTGTGTGTGTGTGTGTGTGTGTGTGTGTGTGTGTGTGTGTGTGTGTGTGTGTGTGTGTAAACAATCATTGTGTACAAATTCATAGCGCATAAATGTACTTTTGTAAACCAGCAACACTGTCCATTCGTTGTTTATTTTTCAGTTACTACAAGACGTTAAACTGCCGTTCGGCAAAGACATCCGGAGGACATGGGAGCCAAGATTGAGGCATTTACAGCTTCTACACAGGTGCTCCTCAAAGGAAAAGAACGTCACTCTGAACCTCGAAGAGCTGCTTGAAGGTATACTTTAGTTGGTGTTTTTGTAATCTAGCACAAGTTTCAGACTGCGACGACGCAGAGGTTTACCTTCGTCCACCATAAATATGCTGGGTTAACTTACTACATCATTACGAACTGATGACCGCTTATCGGGGCCATTCGCTTAAGACAGGGTTAACTTATACTCAGAAACAACTTCTGTGGCGTTTCTGAAGTGAAGAGTGCGTGTGCATAGCCTTGATTGCTTAAGATGCGCGGGCGTTTTTAACTTCGACTACACATTGCCAAAAAGGTTGCCCAAGTCACCCCCGAGTATAGTGCATTGCCACAGATGGTAATGCAAACTTGTCAGGGTTATATCTTCAATATACGAGCCAGTAATATAAAACATATCCTTGCTTTATTTTTTAAAAATAATATAGAGGAAATATAAGCGACTAAAGTCAATGACAGGTTAAGAAAAATCTAAAAGAAGAAAGCCGATGGACGCTTGAAATGGAGAGAAGGTTTCTCCTCTCCCCTACAAGCTTCTGTCCGCTTCCTCCTCTCCAGCTCGTAGATTTTTTCTTAACCTGTTACTGACTGTAGGGCAAGAAGGATTAAATATGGGTAGAACCAACGTTTCTAGAAATATGCTTAAAATTCCTGTGCATCTACTTCCCGCAGAACACTCGAGAAGCCAATCACACCAATCCACATAGAGAGCTCGGCGAATAAAAAGGCCAAAGCATGTTTAGACATATGAATGAAGCGAGAGATGTCACTGAGCATGGCGGTTCACGTACTGACTTCATGCTCAGTGTCACGTTACAGACTTCATTTTTAAGTCAAACATATTTTCAGCTTCTCCATTGGCCGAGTTTTCTTCGTAGATTGCATTGATCGGCCCCTCGAGTGGACGCACGGGCATTTTTAAAAGCAGAGAAAATTCGGTGGCACGTTGGGCATTGTTTTACGTGTGTACTGCACATATATTGTAATTCATTGACTTCCGATCTTCTTCCTTTACTACTTCTTGGATGGAAAGGGAACGCTTGATGCTGCGTACCATTTTTCGCTTTTACACATTGTTGTAGCGAAGGGGGCTTCGAAGGGGACGCTTCGTCATCCGCTGGTAGCGCTCTCTAGATCGCACTGATTGACCCACTAAATGTTTTGAAGGAAATCATATCTGCGGGTATGTTTTAGAGCGTAAGGCTAAACGAGAAATAAAATGCTTAGTGAAACCTATACAATTATAATTGATCTGAAAGCGCGGCGAATGAGCAACTCGCAGCATAATAATACAGAGGAAAATACATGTGTTCATATTCTTGCTTTCTTGTTGTAGGAAGTCCGGACACTGATGCCACTCATCCATCTCCAGGAAAATGAATTTGACAACTTTTTGGACGGTGTCCTGACAGTGAGCGACATCAGAACGACAGTAGAAGCTGTGTGCACATTGCTGGCAGTGATACCCGTCTCGTCTTGAAACTGTTTCGAATTTTGTTAGCTTTTTTACTGCGAACAGAAGAATCAATTTTTGCTACTCCAATAAAGTATATGATTGGACATGATGTTTACTGTTCTGTCTGTCACCTAGTTAATTACGTACAGGAATGAAGTGTGTTGACTCTGGCCAGACTGATGTTTGTCAACCTGTCGAAAAGGCCCAGTGCTAGCGATTAATGAACAATCTAAAGACACTTTGGTTGGTAGAAAAAAATGCACCTTGTAAAGCAAGAAATACGAAATACGATTTACTAAAAACTAACTAGGAATGTAAAAAAAACTCATTTGTCATAAGAGAGGGTTAGAAGTACAAAATATGGTTTACTAAAATAACGCCAACATAATCTAAAGAACTCGGGATTTATTAAAAGAACCAAGGAGGGTTCCAAATAAAACATGAAATAGGGTTCATAAAGAAAAACCAAAGAAGGAACCGTAAAGAACCTCGAAATAAGGTTCATTAAGAGCACGAAAAAGGGTTCTGGAGAGAACCCAAATGGGGTTCAATAAGAAGAACCAATAAAGGATACGAAAAGAACCCTGAAATAGGGTTTATTTAGAGCACCAGAAACGGTTCTGGAAAGAACCTGAAATAGGGTTCATTAAGAGCACCAGAAACGGTTCTAGAAAGAACCCGAAATGGGGTTCATCAAGAGCACCAAAAAGGGTTCGGGAAAGAACCCGAAATAGGGTTGATTAGGAAGAACCAAAAAAGGATCCTAGAAGAACCCCTAAATAGGGTTCGTTAAATAGAACCCAGAAGCGTTCTGAAAAGAACCAAAAATAGGGTTCATTAAAAGAACCAATAAACGATCCGAAAAGAACCCCGAAATAGGGTTCATTAGAAAGAACCCTTTTTGTGGGTTCTTTTCTGCACCTTTAAGGGTGCCGCCCATTGGACAAGCGAAAGAACCCTAAAAGGTGCTAGTTGGCACGCTTTTTTCTTAGAGTGTATAGGACAAGGAACGCCGGCGTCGGGCGTTTGGCTTACGTATTCGAACACGTTTAACGAGTGCAGAGGAGTCAAAAGCAGCTAGCTTTATGTCTATCCACCAATCATTTGAATCAGAGCACTGCGTTCTGAAGTCCCGGCGCGCTCTCGTCTCCTCCTCTCCTTCACTTTCTCGGCGCATAGTGAGCGTCGTACTGGCGTGTGCTCCTGTAATCAATTTTGTGCAATGCACGTTAAGTACCCCAGGCTAGCTGTGACACTGCTCTGGTAAAATAGACCGTTTTCGAAATGATGCATAGATTATGCGTTTCCGCCATTAGTTGGATCATCCACTACCAGCACGCATTGGACAAGAGCGCTTCTTCAGCATTCAGAGTGTACTTGGCTCGAAACGCATTCCTCACAAGAAGCGCGTCAGTGTTCGCTGCGAACTCGGAACCAATCACGGGCTTTCCGTCGCCAGAAGGGATGAGACCAACTAATGGCGGTTGCGCATAATCTATGAATCATTTCACAATTTCGTAAAGGGTCTATTTCTCAGCTGCAGCAAAAACTCCTGATGCCCATTCAGGTTGATAACTCCCCGCCGTCTAAACAAGCACACAACGCAGTTACTTTTTAATAGGTGGCCAGACCTGTGTTAATATTCGCGCCCTTTAATTTTGTTCCTAATTCCGTTTATAGCACACCTTGTTATCACCACACGGAAATCCATACGGTGCTTTCTGGTCAAAGAGGAGGTGCTTTGCGTAAGGTGGGAGATACACGGTTATGTTGCAACACACCCTGCAGCACTTGTTTTCCTTGAGGGCCTGAAAGTTCGAAAGGAGATATGGAGTTCAGTGAGCAATCACAAAAAAGAATGAAAAAGCGGCTGGTTTGATAGCAAGCGAGTAATTATGAGAAAAACGGAACGATGGAAAAAATGGAGATGACACGGGTATGGTTCTAAATACGTTACTTTACGAAAATACATTCTGCTCAGCTCATTTGAGTTAGACAGGGCACCTAGAGCGACTACTCCTCCCCTAGTGGAGGGTGAAATTCCTCGACTAAGTGAACGCATGTGCATTTCGCTGTCCACGCTATCGCGCTGCGCAGGTGAAGGGGTCTGCCGCCGACACAGTTTTATTTATTTATTTATTGCAGTTCTTCCAAGGCCCAAAGGGCGTTACAGAGGCAAGTGGGCAACTAAACACCGTAAAAATATAGGTCTAGACCAGGGGTCTCCAAACTTTTTGGCTAAGGGGCCGGATGGAGGCTCTGTCTCTGTCTCGAGGACCGGAAATATAAATGGGCAGATGTAAATGAGGAAAATCTAAATAAATATTCCTAGATATTTAAGCATTTAAATATACAATATTTAAAGTGAAAGTGAACATGAAACAAGAAGGTTCTAAGGTGGATGAATGCATTCATTTTGTTATAAAATTTAATCATTTAGCTGCTTATGACATCACACAATAATTGGAGCCCAGAAAACATACCAGCATAAACCAGAGCGCATAGGAACTTTGGCACGTTCACACAAGCCAGAAGACTAGTGAGAACGATAGAAGTTATGCTGACAATATTTAATAGCTACGACACAGTACACCAAGCAAAATATACATAGGGGCGTAAATTAACTTTAACGTACTTAGTTACCCAGATATGGAACAGGGGACTGGGAGTGTGGATTCCGCTAATGACAATGTCCAATTACTAATATGACCAGAGGACACGCCTTACGGTAAGCAGTTTTCTCTCGTTTTTTTTTTTTTTTTTTTTTTTCTGGTAACTGCGCTTACGCGGTTGGTGCGCGCCGCGGTGCCGTTTAACATGCGCCTACTTTTCGCCAGTAGCAACGGGCGTGCTGGAAGCGGGCCTTGGGCCATGCTCCATAGGGAGGACTGCCGCCAGCCACGGGCCGGTCGGAAGACCTCCGCGGGCCGGAATTGGCCCGCGGGCCGGGGTTTGGAGACCCCTGGTTTAGAAGAACTCGTCACAGCCAACTCGTCCTAGGGAAACTGGTCACAGCGGACATCTCGCCATAGACCATCTCGTAACGGCGGGAAACTCGTAATGGCGGAGAACTGGACTCTTTTCAATGTCGTTATATCTCGTTAGAGGCACATCCAGCGTTTATCGCAGGATGTCTGTCCAAAGCTTCAATATCGTAAATTATATTAGGCTCTATTCGTTTTTGATTACTTGTTACACATTATAACAAGTAGAAAAACGAATGGAATTGATATTGGACTTGGGGCTCTCTGTTCAAGCGATTAAAGTCTGCTCGGCTGACGAGTATACCAATTTGATCGCACCCTTCCGGAAACATGCATGTTTCCGGAAGGGTGCGGTCAAATTGTATACTTTGCTTTGCTGCTTTGTGCGCATTATGTGCGCCATGGTGCATATAATGCGCACAAAGCAGCAGGAACTTTGGATATGACGAAAACTGTAAAAACATCAATACAGTTTTAGTACAGCAGCATAGTTGCTCCACGCTAGGTTTTCAATAGCCCCATCGTACAGTCTGCCAATGTTGTTTGACAGATATTTGTTCCTCTAGGTATATATACCATGTCTTTTTGGGCTGTAGTTCGCACCCGCTGTATAGCCCGCAAAGGGAATTTGGGGTCAAGAATAAAAGGTATTGCTTAGATAGTCCGCACGCCATGCATAGTCCGCACCTGGTGCTTAATCGACACGAAAATATTCTCAAGGCACACCTTGACGAATTTCTGCTTTCTTAGCTCACGAGGAGCTTGTATTACACATAAATCATCAGTGACAAACTCTTTCATTCACAAAATTCATCACACCTTGACATAAGTAACGATCTTGTAAAACAATATTAATGTATAGTCCGCACAACCTAGAATTTCAACTTTTAAACATGTATAGTCGGCAGACTATAGCCTGTAAAATACGGTAATTCTAGCTAGCGTTCTACCAGGTTCGCACTTCTAGTTCCAAGATTTCAACCGGTAAACCAAATAACAAAGCATTCTTAAGATTGAAAGAATAAAACCACGAAGGGTTCAAGCAAAATAATGCTTCGGGTGCGCACCAGACTTCGGCGGCACGAAGATAAAGGGGGGGGGGGGGGGGGGGGGGGGGGAGGCACCGAGACCTCTATGGACGCGAAATCATCGAGTCATTCGTCATCAAGAACGCAAAAAAGGACGTCTCACCGGAATTCTTTGTTCTATCAAGATGCGGAGTGAAATTTCTCATGACGGAACTGCAAAGAATGTGAAACTCCCTATAGAAATTGGACAGTCGTGGATTCCTATAGAAATTGGAAAGTTATAGATCCTCCACCCTTGCGCCCTCTTTCACCCACTGTACCTTTCCCTGAAATCTCTTGATGCATATTTTTACAAGTAACGACGACCAGCACGAATGACGAAGAACATTCAGTAAGAACAAAATAGCTTCATTCAGTTCACTCTTCTGCTTTACGCCGCCATTCGCTTTCTGAACTTTGCAACGTCACAAAGTCGTTGCTTTAAAGAATGTGGATACTTTAAGAACCTCTTATCTATAGGAACTTTACCTTCCCTGGTTTCCCTCCCCCATTCCGCTGTCTCCTTAACACCCACTTATTAGGGTGATCTCGGGCACAGCGCAAATTTCGTTTCCATAATCAGTAGTTGCTAATTGAAGGAATTGTCTTGTTGTCGTCGTTCGTCTCCTTATTCTTTCAATTTTAAGTATCTGCATTTCAACACACTGGCATTCTTCAGTTAAAAAAAAAATTCTTATTTTCAACCTTAGCATCCCCCTTACAAAAGGCTGCTTTCTAAAAGGAACTCTGAAGAGTGCTAATGGAAAAGGGGGGTCACAGCGAAAGACAATTAATACTCCCGTGTGTAATGGTAGGCTTTTTGACGACGACAAAAAAAAGGAGTACGAAATGTGACAAACAAACTGAAAACACTTGACCACATTTCCTATAACAACAAGGTCAATGCGACTACTCTCCTTACTGATTCCCGGAGAAAATCTCACTGGCTTAAAGCTCATCGCAAAACCGGCGGATGCGGAGAAGAGTTCACCGGCCTTTCGTTATTCTTACATATGGAGGCTGTGGGATCATGGTAATATACATAAATTTACTATCACCGAAATTCTTTAGTTTCGTAAAAACAAATTGTCTTTTCTTGTAATATTTGTGATGCTTATGGTGTATGCAGCTCTCAAATCATTAATTGCGGGCGAGTGTTTTCCGTGGTTTACTCTCTAGACAACAGAAGTCTAACTGAAAACTTTATGAGGTTGAAAAACAAAAACAAAAAAAAAAAGGTTAGAAAACTTGATGTCTGCCTGGAACCTGAAAAGCAAAAGTGTAAATGTCGAAAATCCGAAGGTGCATGCGCAACGACGCGGTGCTGGAAATTCTCTTTGAAGCTTTTGTTAACCTTTGAAAACAAGATAGAACGGTTAGGGCACATATCGAGGTTTCTTTCTTCCACGGACATGCACGTTTTCTAGCCGTTCGTGCTGGTTTTTCTCCACGTTGCCTTGGTGTGATAGTGCCCTTCTACGGCGAACTACCCATGACTTAGAACTGCACAATGCCACCGTTGTTACTCGTGACCTATATAAGAACTAGTCTTCTGTAAGGTAGCGAATTGGGCGAGTTGGTAAACGTTTTACATGATGAAAACAGCTGAAACGTCTTAGGCGGAGTTAAGACAACAAACACGACAGGACGAAGCTATTCTCGCAACCGAAGTTTTATTGTTGAAAAAAAAAAGCAGAAAGCGATCATCGTAGTCGACACTGATTACACCAACAAACTCCTACTCATATATCTATCAGGCACCACACAATCTTCGGAGCTGAAGCGGTTCACACACCGCTATTGATAGTAGCTTGCCGAAACAAACATATTTATCTGACAAAGCTACCCACGGCGCAATGTCAAGCTGTCAATAAATTCTTTTCTACGGGTGTCCCATGTTCTGATTATATGCTGGCGGCGTGATTAATGGACAGAATGGGTGATTACTAATTTCTGAGGAATTAGTAAACATTCCCAATAAACTCCAAGAATATTACACAAAAACAGGACAATTATTTTTATTAAAGTGCCGAATTCTAATTGTATTACATTGCCACAAGTGACGCGCAATTCGCTAAGCTAAGAAACAATAAAAATTTCACTGAGGATTTCTTCGGCTTCTGCTCAAGGGCAGGTGAACTTTTCTACCTATCTGCCGGTTTTGCGGTGTGCTTTTCTCCGGTGAGCTTTTTCCGCCGCCCTTACTACAGGATCACCTAGAACGAGATGCCTTCTTTGACCAGTTCAGTTATGACACGTTTTCCTATGACAAGTCGGCTGTGACGAGTAGACATGTTCCCTCAAAATACATAAATGAAACTTGAACATAGTTCCGGGACACTTACGAAGAAATAAATACTAACAGCAGATTTAAACAAATCTAATGATTGTGATATTACAGATGCAGGTAGGTATTTCAATGTGAAGCTATTCTAGGCACGAAGGACTCGTTATAGGCAGATGTTCGACAATGAATGCCAACTTTGAACCGATGGTTGATGCGTGAAGAAAATTCAAGAAATGCAATATGGGTTGAGGAGGAGTGTTTATTTAGGGTTAGTATTACTGAAGTGAATATAAGGGCACAAACAAGCTGGTTTAGAACGAACATGACCTAAACAACGAGACTGCAGGCAAAAAATTACAGGAACACTAAAAGTTCTCGAACACGGCTGAAGTTTTTATTTCCGAAAAGAGCTTATATAGGCACCTTGACAAAAAAAAAAAAAAAAAAAAAAACAACGAGAGAAGCCAATG